TTTGACAGTTCCTCCGCTACCCAGTAACAGAATTCACACAGATGAGGTGATAAAATTGAACCTTTTCCGACTTACTGCACAGACAGATCGCCTGCAAATTTATTTTTCAACATTCATACACTCATATTGGAATGTTGCATTTTAGAGCTACTGACGAACAGACGTGTCTATTTCTTTGATTTCTTGTTCGGGATATCCTCCCCTAGACGGGCTGAATCTTCTCTCGCCTTCAGAGCCCTATCTCCCTTACAGATCCGCCACGTTTATGGCCTTGTTGGCTTGGCACCTTTCTGAAGAATACTTCCTGGAGACCTCTTCTTGGCTTCGAGGTCGTCTTCTGTAGTACTTCGTTGTTTGACCCCTCTCCCTTCCCTTGCCCGGCATGGGAAGCACTACTGGTAGCTACGCTTCCGCCGGCATAGCTCTCATGATCACGGAGGTACCCAAGCTCCTTCCCGTCCTCAAAGTATTGTACTTCCTAAGCGGAATAATACTAATACTAATACTAATACTAATACTAATACTAATACTAATACTAATAATAATAATAATAACAAAGAAATCCAACTCCAAATCACGGCTACCATTTTCTCAAGTCCAAGAGATCGATCATATAACTCCAATTCTAAGCCAGTTTAACAGGGAAGCCGAAACAAGTATGGAAGACACTCTGAGTGAATATTTGAAGTCACAAAATTATTTAGGAATTGCAAGATTTGAGGGACCTTACCATCACTATAGGCCAAGGATTCCTAAACCAAACAACTCCAGAAAAATTGTGCTCTTGATGAAGACAGCAAATGAGCAGATCCTACCTTATGAAAGTGGAAAATGTATCTTATCGTTATCTACACTCTACCATTTATTTTATAACCGTTGACGTTGTGACTATGAATTGCGGCAAGATGATCGTCGCCCGCCAGTCATAACCATAAATTTAGTTACGCAGAAATGCCGCAACGCTAAAATAAAATATTACCACACCACCTTCGGCAGAAACA